GGTGAAAGTATTTCCATTGACGCAGGAGTGTTTCTCATTAACGGCATGTAATAGAAGGGTTATAATCGCTCGTTTGATAGGATTAAATTCAGTTGGTTTATGAACGGGAAATCTGGTTAATGCAGTCAACTAACTTCTTAGACAATAAATCTAATTGATAATGGTTAAAAGACTTTATAAATTAGGTTTGATCGTAAGCAGCTTGAATTGCGTAGACATTCAATGACTTGGTGGCGAACAGATTTAATTTATTCATCGTTTAATTCTTCTATTTATCTCGTTCATTACGGCAATTAAACTTAAGCCCATTAATTCAGAAGCTTTCATTGGCTGAATAATTTAAACGAATCAAATTTCAGACATGCAGTCTAGGGTTCGTAGACACATCAAAAACATCACCGTCACGTTTCGAAATATGGGACGAGACAAAGAGTGAAGCGTATGCCATACAACCGTTAGATGAGAACGCTAAAATTAGGTGGATTCAACGACTCAATCGGTACATTTCTCGTCTGACTCATCAGAATTTTCATTAGTAAATTCATATTTTCATTCAGTCAGTTTCGGTCACTTATGGTATATATATTTGGTCCATTTTCGAAGTGATCANNNATGAATCCATTGATTATCTCGAATTGTGAAAGAATTCGTTGACACTCAACATTAATGCATTGAGCTATGTTCGACATGTATGTTCAACGGCAATATACCAGAAAATTAGAAATTGCCGACAATTCAGTTTAACGAGTGAGGCGATACCTGAACGATGCTCACATAATCGGTCACAACGACCTCAGTCGTGGGCATCAACAATTTCGAATGATAGCACTGCATCAACACGATCATCAAGTGGTGAAACAACAACCAGTATTGAAAGGTTATTCCTTCATTCGTTCAGTACACTCAGTTGATCGTTGCAGTTGAAAGCATTTGATTTGCTGTAAGATTTCGTCGTGATAAATGACAATATTTCAGTGCACTAATGGACCCGAATGGAAATCAGGCGGTGTTGTGTAGTAATTCGCCAATTTCATCGATACCAATATCCGCATCTTCAGAAGGCTGCTCAGAAACAAGGCAGATGGCTGATAACGATAATAATATTACAACAACCGATTTAGACTGTGATTCTTCAAACTCTCGATCCACACTTACCAGTACATCCACTCCGAATGAGGTTTACATTCNGTCTGTCTGTCATCTGTTACAAATATAACTGTATGAAAAATGGTGAATGCTTCTGTGTTGAAGTTGTAGTGTAGCTGAAGTATACTGTAACCAGTGATTTGTCGACTTATTACTTATTTGATATCAGATGCTTATCACCCTTCAGTTGCATCTGTTGCTTTCAGCTAAGCAATCTATTGAAGAATCCAGTGATTATACTGATCTGGATCATAAAAAGTGAACGAAAGCAAAAAGTCATTGGGTTATTGTATCAACGAATGTAATCCAAAACATTTCAGGACCGTCATATACCACCAGATTCATCCACAACAGCGTCGCTGAATACAATTGTTGAGAGTTCATCGCAAAATGAGCTTTTAGCAGCAATTTGAAGGATTATTTATTTTTTGATAATTGTTACTGTTGTTGATTGTTTATTACATGTCGATTTCGTCTTCTTGCGATCTGACTGAACTTTCACCGAGAGTGTTTGTGTTCGATGCAGGCAAATTAGCATTCTTATGTTTATGAGGCTGAGATGAATAAGAAGAGTCATAGGTTTTTGAATTGCGTTCGAATCTCGATCGTGTCATATCCTCTATCTGAACATATGGCTTTGAGTATGGTAACAGTGATTAAAACTGTTAATTGATTTTGATTGATTGATGTGGATGGAAAATACAAGTTGATTTGTTTTAAAGCTTTTTCAGTCATATTCTACAGAATTTATGTTCCGTTCAGTAAGTATTGTCATGATGTGTAGCTCGGTGATGTAATATATCCTTTTAATATGTATAAGTAATTTACTATGTATAATATCGACTACAAAAGAATGTTGTATTGATTATATGGCATATATCTCGTATTTTGGCTCTGTTTTGTCTAATAACTGATCAAGTTTGGATCAGATTAAAGTTATTCATCGCATTGGGTATATTTTTAGACAGTTGTCCGCTATTAATTGCTTCATTCCAGTTCACGTCTATATTCGCTGATTTCTTTTTTAAGAGATACGTATTGTTGCAAGATATCCTCACAGTTCTAACACTCAATGGGAAACATTCGTAAATTCAATATTTTGAAGCAGATGTTCGAATTTTCAACAAATATCCAAGCAAATGAACTTCTCGTTTCTGAAGGAAATCTAATGACAATGCATTTATAAATGGACAATTGTATTGTTAATATAAGAACGACGAAATCACAGTATGATGATNCCGAGAGTGATGATAGTCTTATTTGAATGTATTTACTGACACTATTTGAATGTTCATAAAATAAGTATTCAGCGAATTCTGTAACTTAAGTTATTATTCTAATAATTGTTATATTTTGAATTGTTCATCAATTATATTATGCATATTTCTTAAGAGATATATTAATGTTATGTTTTACTATGTTCAATTATTTTGTTCTGTTTGTTTATCGATGTTTAATATTAATTTGCATAAGAAATACGTTTAATTTGTTAATCTGAATTGATCACCGTTCAGTCAATGTTTGTTCATGTGAAACATCTCATTAAACGCTCTTCTCAGATTGTGTTCTTTTCTTGATTTTTTTATTCTTTCACTCGGGGGAAACCAATTTTGTTCCGATAGCTCAACAATTAAATTATTCGGCCATGAATATCGCCTTCTCAGCTGTGTGTCACTGGGGAACTGAATGCGAAAGTTTTATTTTTTTGCTCAACAAAAAATCAAATCTAATTCTTCAATAGCTTTTCTGTTTTAATTTCCTTATGGTCATGATGATATTGAGAATCGCAAACATGTAGACCCGCTTTCAAAAAAGCAATTCCTTAAATATTTAGCATAAATTGAATCTGCCACTGCAGTCACTCGGATAATGTTTCCACGACTCATTTGGATGACGCTCGAACGCAGAAATCTCACAAATGCCTAACATGAATACAGTTTCGACAGTTAACCGCTCCATCCCAATTTTCAAGGTGCACTTGAAAGTTCTAACTGTTAATTCAAACAGTTCGAGAGTTTTTATGCTGATGGAAGTGAAGAAAATGTATCGAGACGACTCAAAACTCGCTGTGCTTTAACGTGCAAACATCTTCTGATTATGGCTGCTCGTCTGATACAAACTTGGGATCTGTTTTATATAATGATAAATCATCGAATGCAATGAATATTTTAGTGAATTAAGCAATATAATAAACATCGTAGTGAAGTAACAACAAGAACGATGAACAGAGGAACGCCGAATAAAATAATCCATCTTGAACAAACTTCTTCATTAAACTTCACATATGCCTTGGGTGTATCTTTCATCTGAATCATAATCTTATGTTCATTGATAATTTAATTCGAAGCAACTGCTCGATCGAAATTCACCATTTTTGAGGATAATTTATGTAGCTCAATATAACAGATTCGGCTGTAATGGATTCAGTGTTTGCCCATTAAACGTAGTATCCAAAGAATCGCATGTTTAGTGGAATAAGTTAAAGAACTAACGGATAGATTGCTTTTCTCTAAGTCTAATGTCCCAGCAATTGTTCGCGATACTTTCATTGATACTATCTTCCTTCGCTAGAATATACTTCGCGGATTTTGAAATTGACCTCGTCAAACACTATCAAAACGATCTTTTAATAGAATGGTTTAGTGATTAGAATTTTCCATGGATCGTTACTAACTATAGGAAATGGCAAATCAATACGATTCATGTGTATCGATGCAGTTGGGAATGAGGAACACCATTCAAAAAATCGTTGAAATCTGTTCGTTATGAAATTCATGATCTTTTTAAGGCTATAATATGAGCTGTTTCATTGTTGTTGGAAAAATTCAGATGATTAAGTTTAGTTCAAGTTGCTCCCTC